GTACATTTCACATACCAATATCTTGGAGGATACAAATCTCAGATGAATTAATAATTTCAGCCAAGTGATTCAGATATTATAATGGGTTCTAGAAGTTAGGGAGTCTGGATTGTAATGAATTTCCCATGGCTTGAGTACAACAGAATAACATTATTATTAAGACCAAAGCATTTACAGAGTTTTGTGTGAGTTTAGCAATCAAAGCAGTAACTAAGTTTTCTGGAGTGCATTCTCACCCCATTTGAGCCAGCAGCTATTGAGCTAAGGCTGTTAATGATTTTATGTCCCCCCAAGCCACTGAAAGTCTAGTATCTTGGGATCCTCTTTTGATGTACCTTTTAATGTTTCTTCTCTTTTGAGGAGACTCATCATTGTCCTTTTGTTTGGTGGGACTTTTCTCATCCAGGATCAAACAGATTTGATGATCAGGTTTTGATGCCAGCTCATGATTGTCAGGTCTCACACACTGAGATGGAATATGAACAGGAGGTGTTGGTGTAAGCATAGCAGTCTATCCCTTTTCCCATGTGATCAGAGGCATGGGGTCTTGTCATCCTGGGTAAGGTGGGACCCTATATTTTACATAAATTTTTTGGTAGTGGCTGTTTGGGAATAAAATGTGTATCCAAAGCAGATGGCCAATTATGAGTAATAACTTTGTATTATATATTGTTCATTATCTGTAATTAAAACAACATTTATGCATTATTAATATGAGAGAGGCTAGGTCCCTATTTTTGTTTTTGTTTTAAAAGGCAAGCTTTAAACATATGATGCACTTGTTGAACCAAAGTTTGTTCAGTAGGATTTTGAGAATTCCATGATTTAAATTTACATTGATTACATAATTGTGCAAAAGCACGAGATGTATATACAGGGACATTATCTGTCTTTAAATGAATAGGCTTGCCCATAGTGGCAAAGCAAAGCAATGAATGAGAAATGCAAGCAGATACCTTTTCAGATCTGTGGGCACTAGCACAAATGAACCCAGTATGGATATCAGTGGAAATGTGAAGAAAGGTACAAGGATGAAAAGGAGGGAAATGGATAACATCCATTTGCCAAAGTGTATTAGGATTTATAGATTTACAAATTTTCCACATAGAGGCCCACAAGGGTGCACAGTGAGAACAGTGGTTGGCTCTAGCACAAGCCTGTTGAGAAAGATAGAAACATTTTCATTAGTGATTGAGCATTTTCACGAAAGAATCCATGGGATTCCATAGCGTCTGAAAACAAAGGACAAAGGGATTTC